TGATTTCTTCTGAGACGTGTATCCTCTGAAGACCACAAGGTGAACTGATGCCTAGACATGTCATGCTAGAATAAACATCCAATTTGTCCAACCCTGTGTTATTGGTACAAAAAGTACCAGGAACTTCAAGAAAATTCCCAGAAGTTACAAAGGGGGCAATTAAAGCTTCCTACAGGGTGAGCCTCTTCCTAGTCCTTTGGCTCATCAGTTTCTCAAATAGAATACATATATAAAACAGATTTTTTTTTTAATTTTCTTTCATTATTTGCATAAATATTGCATCCATCTTTAATGTGACCAACCTGCCAAGGTGGAAACCTAGCCACACATTTTAATAAGATATTTCCATAAAAGAAGGAGCTTACCTTTGGAAAGGAACTATTTGAAATGGAATTTAAACAGTTAGTTTCCAAAATTTACTAGCTACTTTGCTTGCAACTCCACTGAATTGCCTACTGCTGTGCTTGACTGAATTAAGAGGATCTCTAGACAATCAGGGTAAAAACAAAATGTTCAGATTTCCATTTGTGATAACTGATATTTTAATGAAATCCCTCCAAATACTGTACACTGATTTCATAGTACACTCGTCATCAAATCTATTCCATATGCTGCAGTCAACAGACGGTCAACACAGTGGTTTCGAATCCAGAACCAAACAAGGCATCACCATGAAAAGCAGAAGAGGCCCATTATTTAAGAAGCCAGAGGCACTATTCATCATATCGGTACTGTGCGAATGAAGTGCTGTGCAACCCTCCAGAACTGAGCGATGTGAACAGAAATTACTGCACATGTGCATAGAACTACCAAATACTCACCAGTCAGAAAGACAGACTATTAAAAGTACCTTATCACACAAAAGTGTGCAAGAAGATTTAGTATTAGTCTGGGCTTGGGGAAAATGCAAACCATGTGCACCCATGCAAACCACGTGCACCAGCATGCAAACCACGTGCACCAGCATGCAAACCATGTGCACCAGCATGCAAACCATGCTGCCTCAACAGCAGCATTTCCTGACAGCTCCTGAATTTATGTGAAAACTTCATGGATAGCAGAAAGAAGCTCTCAGACAAAAGAAAGTTACTTCATGAGATTTATCCTTTTGTATTACATCGGGAGGGTTATAAAAGCAGGATGTTGAGGAGCACACACTGGCTGGATAAGGCTGCCCTCTACTGATACTAAACTCCAGCTTTGTCAGTCACTTACCACTGCAGGAGCGTTCACCACTGAGAGATTGTAACCATAAAGAAAAGACGACCCAAAAGCACCAATTAAAGAGGCTACGATAAGACTCCCAGACCAATTCTGAAAAACAAAGAAAAGACACAGCCATCGTTAGTACACTTTAAATCAACGTACCACAAGGTTTTAAACACTCCCTACGCAATTCTGCGCCGCTCCTGCAGGCAGATCTCCTTGCTGCAGAAGAGTGGCCTGAAACACTTCCCTTTGCTGCAATCTGAGAAACAGTAAATTTGAAGTGTCAGCATCTCAGTTAACATTTACCGAGGCATAAGTGAAAATCTGATCTCCTTTGAACCTCACAGATTTTTGCTGTGAGCATCGCATCAGCCCCCACACCAAAAAGTAAAATGCTGGAGAAGCATACTCTCAGCAAAGGAAACTGTTGGCAACATACCACTAACGCAACAAAGCAATGAGCAGCGTATATTTGTGCCACAGGTTTGTGGGCAGACCCAACTTAGGTGAAAGCCTGGGAGATGGTGTGCCCCCCACTCCCATGAGTATAAGGATTAGTAAAACTGTGACCCCAAAAAATAAAATTAAGTCTACAAACTAGGCTTTGTAACCCAAGTGCAAGTTTCCAACAGTAACTTGTTGCCACACACACAAACACTCTGGTGGAGATGCCATTTGCCCTTTTCCCCCAGCAACACGCCTGTAACTCCCCCTTCTCAGCTCTCCTCCCACGATCCCCCTCATCCTGTTTTTAGCACGCCTCTGTGAACAAATTTCTTCTTCCACATCAACTGTTGAATAAAAGGTAGGGCTGCTTAGATACTGGACTTTCAGTCAGTTAATTTGAGAGATTTTGCATTTCAGGGTCCCTTCTGCCTTCCCCGGTATTATTTTCTGTTCTCCACTCAGTTCTCCTGCTGGATTACAGAGAGCAGTAAAAGCAACCACTGCCATTCCCAAGAGATGCCAAAGTTAGTGTTTTGGTGGCTGGTCGGTTGTGAATGTCATTTTGTAGATCATGGAAGACAACTTACCTCTCTTGACTTCTGAATACATTAAAGTGGATGGCTTTTTAACATCTTTTAAAATTAAAAACAGCTCTGCTATGAATCTAGAATTTCAGGCACAGCTCACTGTCATTTTATGCCCAGCCTTGTCACTCGCTGAAGCCTCAATCCTTTCAAAAGGAGCCAGACTGCTTAAGCAGGCCTAATAAACTCAGCTTCAGTTATGTCACTTACAGCAGACACAGCAGGTTAATGAGTCGATACATTCAGCCAACTGCACAAAGCTCCATATTCTCTTTGGAAAATTAAGACGTGGAGCATGAACTAGGTTTGTGTAGCTAGCACATAGCAGAGCAGCAGTGCTGATGCACTGGAACGAGCTCCACCAACCTCAGGATGGGCACAGCTGGGCAAGTGAACACACTGTGGTTGGCAGCACATGCCAGAGCTCACATTTCCACACTGTCATCACGGACTCACATTGATCTGTCAAGAAGGGATGAGATACCCGGGTGCCAGGACAGGGACCGCAGCATACAGCCCAGTGTGCATGGGGTCTGCCATGCTCCACAGCTGCCGGTCCTAAGGGACCAAATGACACCTTGTGGAGCAGCCAAGTGTTTTTAACTTCTTCCACATGATGTGGGAACTTTTTAAAAGAGATTACACAGTTCATTAACCAGCCTGTTTTCAGTCAGGTCAGGAGGAAGCACACAGGTGGGAGAAAGCCCTGTGTAAGAAATATATCCCGTTGAGCTTATTACATAAGCTAAATGGAATTTCTTATTATTAGCCAGCTTCTTAAAATGAAACTGACACACACACACACACAAAGCTGTGTGCCATTACTTCGGTAGCAAGCAGAAATTTTGACACAAGGTTTTATTTAACTTGTGATGAACACACCTCATATTAGGTGCCCATTATTTCTCCATTATGCACAAGTGTTCCTGCACTTAGGATTGCTCCTACTCTGAACTAATGATGCTGAGGAGAATATTCCTAGAGGTCTACCACACAAATCCCAACGTGCTCACAAATGATAAGTGTGAGTTCTCAAGAGCTATGCACTAACCTTGAGGTAATACTGCTAAAGGGCTCTGCTCCAACAGTGTTAGACCCATCAGAAAAATCCTGCCAACAAAATGATTTAGACCATATAGCTTAGCATTCATTAAGAACTCCAGTGAATGCTTAAACCTTTCCACACAGGCAAATTATGCACACGTGAGGCTAAGTGGAAGATAATGCAGGACAACTCAAAGAAGTGCTGACAAGTTTGAAAACCACATATCCACTCTATTTTCAAGTGCTGCAAACAGCTGGGTTTAGAGCCTACCTCAATTTTCAAGTATATAGCCTGCTGCACAAAACCTCACACTTACTTGATTGAGTTTCACAGCTCTTGGAACATGAACTTCAACTTCTCTGTGACCTGTCTCCTCACACACTATTTTAAATATTTGCTCAGGCTTCAGCAACACCAGATAAAAGATGAAAGCACAATGAAGCAAGAATTAAAAAAAAAAATAAAAAAAATAAAAAAAAAATCAAACTGTTGCTCAGAAAAATATTAACTCTGTAGCAATGTTAACAAAAGGAAAGGAAAAAAAACAAAACGATGTGTTTTACAGTGACTGGGAAACAAGAAGGCAACCACGCCTCCCTCATAGGTGTTCCTTGACTCCCTCACAGGTGTTCCTTGACTTCAGCACCACCCCTGTGCTCATGCGTCGCTGCCGTCAGAGCAAGGGTAGGTAGGTGTGACCGTCACCACAACAGTAAGTGTTCAGTCGGGAAAGTTGCACGTCAGTTCACAGCAAACATTCCAGATACCTGAGAATTGCTTACTCGTGAAAGTCCACATTTTTGGTCCTATCGCAGATCCCAGGGCTCCGTGCTCTGAAAGATGCTTTTCTCAACTCCTGTCCTTGCTCAGCGTAACATTTGTGTCAGCAACTATGAGCCTTAAATTGCCTTTTATTAAATACACGCCAGTTTGCATTTCAGTTTTCAAAACGCAATTTAGAATATTGTATTTTGGTTAGTTAGGTATAAATCCCTTCTCAGATTAAAACACAATTGTAAGCGTAC